TGAGGATGAGTGACGAAAGGGCTAAGGTTGGTACTGCGTTTGGAGGGGTTTTCTTGTAAATGATGGTCTACCTAATGGTCCAGAGCTTTTTTATTAACACTGACCCTGTCTTTCATTTTTGACTACATTTTCGAATTTCTTCTGAGCGAAAGCTTGTAAGACTGAACCTCGCATTGCCTGTTCATCGTATCTGCTTATGATACCCATGACCCACTGCGACGCTATTGCCGTCGGAAAGGTTGTCGAATGCATGGCGCATCTTCGAAGTCAGGCTGATAAGTAGTACTTATATGTCTCGCTACTTCAGGCTCGCCTTCAAGGTAATCATGGCGCGGTTTTTCTCACCCCATTTGATGCTTGTCGTCAGCTGTGCGCTCTATATCATTCTCGGAGCCCTGATGTTTCAGAAACTCGAAGGGGAGCACTTAAAGGTGAGTTGTTCTACCATCAATTGTTTTGTTTGCTTGTTTATTAATTTGCTTGTTTTTTTCTCTGGCTTGTCTCCACTTTGTCGTAACCCTTCCTGCATCGGGGAGCTTTATAATAGATGGACGGCTAAGGCACTTGATTGGTATAGCGTTTGATTTCGATTGTTTCGATTCCTTCGTGAGTACGCCATGCCTTCTATACGCATTAGTTCAGAATCGCAGGGGCGTTTGAGTGTGTTTCTAGCCTAGAAAATGGGTTGCAGGCGCTTATCGGTTAACTAGTTACTTCAATTGTGCAATCCAAATGATCTAGCGGGTAAAAGAAACAAAAAAGGAGTTTTGTTCGTCCACAACGGGACTTGATCTCAAACTTTTTTGTTGCTGTAGCACTGATTTATTCTGCCCCTACCGCCCCCCCCCCTCCTTCGCTTGTTGCCTCACCTGCAGCAGATAACTGGCGTAACCGTAGGCTGGGTACTGGTTAACCATTTACTTTTGTAGGAAGTGAAACGAGAACAGACGGAAAATATTGATAATAGCGCACAACTGTATATAGATCGAATATGGGACCTTACACAGAAATACCGCCATAGGTATCAGGTTAGTGTAAACCTTTTTCAAAGTTTAGTCCACGTTAATCGTATAGGGCGGAGACACCTGAGCACTGTGCCTTTCTCGTTGACTTGCCCCTGGAACAAACCGTGGAAGAAAAAATGGGGAAGGCACTGAATGACCGCCACCACCTATGTGGCCAGCGTGGAATGTGCCCTTAATTTACTTGAATTCAAATGTTGCGTAATTTTTTAGAACATTGAAGAGTTAGTTGAAGTGGTCAAGGATAGTTCGACTGATGAATTCCATGATTATGTGGATACAGTGTTCACCGCTCACCGTGCGTCGAGACACGGTTATGACGAGGTTTGCCACTTCAGAAGTAAAGCTTACAAACATATCAGAGCACAATATACTATATTGGGTTGTTCGAAAAGTAATGCGACACTTTGACCAAATTTTTCGGACTAAATTTTCCGTCACTAAAAGACATCTCCAATCTACAAGGTAACCGCAGTTGATGACTAGGACTAGTGCCCTTCTTTTGCACAGCTTCTCATTTCCATTCTCATAGAACTACGGCAACTATGATAAAAAGAAGAGGTGGACCTCATTCTCGAGTTGAGGTCGATTTTCGGAATTTGCGATAGGGACCAAAGGAGGTGGTAATTAGAGGCTGCTAACTTTGTTAAATAACCTGGGTACGGTCGCATTCTCTGATCGAAATCCATGATCTTTTGGCGTAGCCTGATCCCCACATGCGGTCTTCGCATTGCCGAGTAGTAGAGAAAAATTGAGTATTTCTGAATGAATTCAAGCGTGACGTCATCCATATTTTGAAGTCGATTAAGGTGGACTGTGGTCCTTACAACGGTGCTAGTATCCAGTGATACCGCTTTGAAGTCCCACCAATAACACACTGAAATCTTTATCCCATGCACATCTGTTTTGGCTAAGCAATCTACTTTTCTGTTTGAGAGATCCTGCGAGGGACATGTGCATGATGTACGCAAGGACTCCAACACTCGCTACCAACCACAAGATCTCACAAAAGTTCTTTCGCTGTGTACAAGGAAAAGAAAACTCAGTCACGGTCATTCGGTATGACTTGTCAGACGGGTCCAACTCATGAGGCATCCTTCACAAAAATTTTTTCCGATAACCGAGATTGCGGAGAAGCATGGCAGTTGTCAGTCAGGTGGAGCCTAGAGAGGTTGCCAACTACTTCGGCTGCGCCTCAAGAAGCTTGAGTAAAGGGCCGTCATTCTGTGCTGGTGGGCGACCTATACAGTGCCTAACTACGAGTAAGTCCAGCCTGGAAGCGCTGATGCAAAAGCTACCCTCTGCCATGGCAAGCGATATCCTTCCTCAAGACAACGTAAGTGTTAGCTTCCTCGACTACGGCGGAGTGGCCCTACAGGAACTCATAATATGGGATAGGTCGAAAAGTACCTCGATCTCTGAGGGACTTTTAAGCTTTGAAAACTTCCACAAAGTCATGATATACCCATGTGCAGAAACCCCAGAGGACAGTCTCCACTAATCAGGGATAAAAACATCCAAAATGATTTTTGGTCTTTTCTAGAACAATTGTGTGTCGCATCAGTGTGATTAGTGGAAGTGTCGCATTACTTCTCGAACAACTTAACATGTGCATTACCATAGGTTTTCCCTTCAGGACGCACCAACATGGGACTTCGCAAACTCGGTGTTCTTCACGACGACCATGCTCACTTCGATTGGCTACGGATATGTGGCACCATATACCTTTGCCGGACGATTATTCGGGGTTATCTACTGTCTCATAGGTGAGTCTTAGGTCGTCTTCAGTTCGTTCCGTGAGCATTATCAACTCAAAACGTCTGGAAGGCCGACATAGGCCACATCTGGCGGCGGGTCTGATACCATACCTAAATCGAAACTTCGCGCCTTCTCGGAAGCGTATAAGTGGAAGAATTTCGCAGTGAAGTATTGTAATTGCTTCATCTACTTTTATGCTTCACTTACCGCCTGTTTATTTACTCGTCATGTTTAAGGTTTCTTTATTAAGGTATTCCGTTGACGTTAGTCACTGTGGCGAATGTGGCAAAATTCATTTCGGAAACGATTTTCTTGATTCATTACGAATTGTGGAAGTACTGGATGAGATGGAAAGCGAGAAGAAAAGGAGAAGAGCATATTGATGAACCACTTTTTACTGAAGATGAGGACGAACAGGTAGGTTGGGGAGATGTTAGTGCCTCCGAAGTCATACCTTGAAGCAGCGGCCTTCGGCACAGTTACCTCTCATCCGGTTTGGGAAACGAATATTGAGACAGTATGCCCTAGTCTCCCTCTAGGAAGTTTCACTCAGAAGTTGGAAGAATAATTTTAGAATGAAGTCCACTGCGTGCTTTGTAAAAGTATAAACCTCTGTCATAAGCATCCCGAACAGTGGCAGGCGGGAGGCCGGATGCGCTCCGCGTTCAATTCCACTTGAAATCGCGGTACAGTTTCATTAAACTTGTTTCGTAGGCCAAATGCACCGCTTAAAAGAGCACACAATCTTGATGAGGAAAGAAGTTTGGTCAGCTCTACAGGATACTCTTCCTACCCTCCCAAACCGCCACTAGTGCCTTGAGCGCAATTATTTCCTATGTTTTTCTTCACCATTCTCACTCTTTCTTGTTACCTGTGATCCTGCAGTTCCCAGAAAAAATCCGTCAAAAATAGAAAGAGCAAAGGTTACCTGGATAAGAATCCCTAATCATACTCGACAATCGCCCATTTCAGATAAGTCTCCTTATAGGAAAACAAATATAACCTTTCCCGTCCCTCTCACCCCACAAGAAACACTTCTTGTTCAGGAAAAAACCGCCTCAGTCCTCGATCCCGCGGTGCTTTTAGTCAGGTGGTGTTAGTGTCTATATTTTTGTTCTTTCATGCGAATTTTTTTACTAGTGAGATGAGTTCTGATAAATGGTGGTCACTTGATGGGTTGTTCGCTGGGTATGATTAGGCGTGGCAGCGGTATGGATATGGCGCGGCGCTAGTTCGTTTCTTTTCTTTTTTTCTTTCGGCAAACAACAAGACTGTATCATTCATATCGGCCATTTTCCTCCATTTGTTGTCGCTTACTCGCGTCAGCAATTTTTGGAGAACGGGCTGGCGGAGCGCCAAACCCAGCCCAAGTGACACTGACATCCGTGGCGAGCACGACTGTGGCTGATGCGCTTGGTTATCGGCAGTGGAGCCACTTGGAGTTGCTGCGATTCGAAATAAAAGTGATCAACTTTTAGGGTCAAATATAGCAAATACCGTTTTTCAGGAGATACTGGACCGAGTGAAGCTCATCCGCTTTCCGCCAATTGTCGTGTTTTTCTTTGTATTCCTGTACGGGCTTTTGGCATCGTATCTGATCCAGCGGAAGGAGCAGTGGAGCTACGTGGAAAGCATGTACTTCACGTTTATTAGTATTCTTACAGTAGGTTCGTTACATTACTATGCATACATTCATTGGCCTCATGGAAACATCTTTTCTTTGATTTTCAGGATTTGGAGATTTCCGGCCGTCATCAAATAACCTCTGGACGACATTGGCCGTTGTGATAGGTAAGGAACGACACTTTACTTATTCTCAATATAAGGAAAGGCAAAGCTATCCCTCTGTCTGGCGAACACTCCGGGTTTTTGACGACGAGAAATAGTTCGAGGTTAGAATGTTTTCCAAAGATGCATTCCACACTCGGTGTATGAGCAAAGCCAGACCTTTCACCGTGTCATCGCTGTAGGCGTGCCCCTCCTCACTATCTCCAAAAGGGAAGGTGAGCCAATGATGAAGGTGGAGCAAAGTACGGTATATCTCCAGCAGGGCACATGGTACATACGTTGGGATACTCAGCTGGTCGTAATTGGTCGCTATAGGTAGAGGGGTCGCATTTGCTTTGGACAGAACGATACCGATTATTGACTACAGTCAGTCTTATTCTGTTTCAAGTCCGGAAGTGCGACAACCCCCTTTCCTCATCGTTCCACGGTGGATGGGGGACGAGCAAGGGTGGTCGTACCAGATGAGGAAACCTTGTAGGAGGCGTATTTCACTGAAATTTCCCTAACGTGAAGACGTGACCTGCACCAGAAGCGCCTGGAATAACACTTCTAGTCGAAGGGCCTTTACCTTGTGTTCATGCATGATAACTAATTCACCTCCATAGCCAACACAGTTTCACCCAGTTTTTTTCGTGCCCTTGTCCCTGATCGTCCATGAGAGCGCCGATTTTTATCCGCTTTCACGAAGATTACCGCCAATTTGCTTGCACGCATTCGCGCTTTACTTAAAGGCACTTGTACACGCTGATTGTGT